CATCTCCAGCTTCACGCGATTCTAAGTATTCAATCGCTTCTTGAATCGGATCCATGGTTGTTGAGTTATGACGCGTTGAAGATGGGACGACGCGCAATGTTGGGATGGTGGGGTGGCTCGTTACGCGACGTGGCTCGTCACGCGCACATTTAGTGTACCTTGCAGACTATCAATCATGGATATGTATCCCGTGCGGCATGGGCGTCAAGCCCAAGCATTACCTAACACATCTCACAATGTGGCATACCGATCACCCAGAGGTCAACACGTCAAAGAAAGCTAGGATGCTGCTTGTTGAAGAACTCCTGCTGAAAGGTCCGACCGACCCTGATCTACCAGAGTTCCAACTCCCTCAACAAGGATTGCCTGTTTTGCCACACCTCCCTATACACGAAGGCTTGTCCTGCCTAGCGTGCAACTACACTTGTTTGGCGAAACAAAACATCGACAGACACCGCCAAAGGCAGCACGCTGAGCACAAATGCGCTCCAGGTCGCCCATCCAAGGTTGATGCGCTGACCGTGTTCGATTGAAAAAAAAGCGTCCTGCCAACGTCTCTTTGTACAGGGCTGCAAAAGTCACTACTTCGCAGTCATCTCGCCAGCTGAGATCGAAGAGGAGAAAGACACGCTCCGACGCCGTGACATGGCCGCGCAGCTGCCGGAGGCGGAGTACATGCGCGCTCAAATCGATGAAGCGCTAGAGCAGGGAGAACAAAAAGCTAGAGCTTTTGAAGACAGGATCCTGGACAACGCTGCGCCGACTGAGGTCTCACCGTGGCTGGAAATGACGCGCTGGCCGAAATATCTCCAGGGACACTTGTTTATCAATATCGCCCGTCTCGCAAGCCCTGTCAGTCTACTTTCAGAGCCTCTCCTCGTCGAGTTCTCTGACAACCTGGACCACGTCGTTGAGCAAGCGCATACTTCCATATGGGACGACAAAGTCAATGTCTTCGATCAAGCGCGCATCAACAGTTTCATCCAGCGCAGGCGAGCGTTTCACCGGCCACTGATGATCGAACTGCGCGACTCGACGTATCGAAGTTATAAGCAAGTCTTCAAAAGGCTGATCTGTTTTGCATATCGGACTATGCAGTCGGAGAATCGCATCGAGCTGGCCCACCGTTTGACTGCTCGCCAGCTAGGGCATCTCGATAAGATGATAACTATCGGCGAAGAACTTAAAGGGCTGAAGCATAGTCAACAGACAAGAGATGGCGACAAGCAAGGCCCCAATGCTCCGCCAAAATCTTTAGAAAGCCACCTCGACCGAGCTTGTCTATACTTCTGTATCTCCATACTCAATCACACGCTCAAAGGGGATCTTCTTGAGAGAACAGCAATAGGGTTCCTTGCCGCATTGGGAGTGGATCCTGAGGAACAGAATCTTCGAGACGCATCTTCCTTCACATCGTACCTGTCTGCTTTCGTTGAGATATCACAGATGCTGGTCATCCTGATGTCGGTTCTGGTGGCAGAAGAGGGCCAGATTGAGCATCGGTCAGACGTGCTAGACGAGATGCGCGAGCGTTTTATGATCCATGGAAGTCGGTCACCGTTCAATTGGGTACTACGTCTACGAGGGTATGGCAAAAAGATTAGGAACAGCTCTACAAGCCTAGGCTATATCTACTGGTCTGATGACCACGAGCGCCTTACATACAAACAGCTTGAGCTAAGCATAGCTGATTTCAAAAAATTTGCCGCCACCCAGGTAGAGCTGGCACAATCTGAGCTGGAGCAGCTCTTTCTGATTCACAGCGACGAAGAGTGAGAAGACGTGATCCCTAGCTTTGAACTACGCGACTTGAAGGACGATTCGACAGAAAGCGCCAAGGGGTGGAGCTTTTGCAATGATCCTCGAAACAAACATGTTTTGCCAGAAGGCAAAAGATGGATGCTTGATCGCGTCTTAGAAGCCGACGCGCTACGAGCTGAATTCATAGAGTTGCGCAAGAACGATTCCAAAGTTCTCTGGAAAGTGACGGCAGCGAAGAAATACATCTCCAAAATCGAATCGATTCTCGAGCGGCTCTTGCTCCTTGTTCACATCACTGCAGGCCAGCCTGCTCGTGGCACAGAGATCCTTAGCTTGCGTCACTGCAACACAGTAAATGGGCACCATCGAAGCATATTTATTGAGAATGGACTTGTTAGCACAGTCACTTCGTATCACAAGGGATACAACATTATTGGGTTTACAAAGATTATCCACCGCTATCTTCCTAAGGAAGTGAGCGAGCTTGTGGTGTACTACCTGTGGTTTATTTTGCCATTCTGGAGAAGTCTGAATCTACTAGTCTTAGGAAATAAAGCATCTCGATCACCGTTCCTATGGTCGAAAAGTGATGCGGCTTGGATTAGTACTCGTGTAAGCAATGCGTTGAAAGAGGAGGCACGAATTTACCTACAAACCCATCTGAACATTACCTATTATAGACACGTTGCCATTACTATGTCGCGCGTCTACCTCAAGAGCGGTGGATTCAAATGGGACTATGGTATTGAAGAAAAGACATCGAATGATCAGGCAAGCCACACGACATGGATAGCGGGTCCATATATGCACGTGGACTGGAGGAGGCTCCGGGAGCCATAGAGGTCAGAAAGGCTGAGTATCGAATGGTCAGTCGCAAATGGCACAATTTTCTCGGGTTCCGCGCTTACATGCCCTGCACTAAGTGTCCAGCTTTGTTTGACGTATCGGATGAGAAGGCAAGGCAGTAGGCAGCAGGAAGAAGCAAAACGTGCATAGAGGAGTATTTCAAGTCCTTCAGAGAACCATATGTCAATATGCATGATATTTGAAGGTCAGAAGGCCGCTCTGTATCGCAGGAGACGATATGCAGCGAGTAGTCGAGCACAGATAAGTGCACAGGGTTGTTTACAGTTCATTCCACACCCATAGTGTTTTCAACCTATGAATGTTTAACGCATTGTTCGATGGCAGAGCAGAGTCGTAAGTCAGCTTTTTGAGCATATAGCAGATTACACGTTGGCTGACCAATATAGGGCGCGGGTCGGACCCCGAGCCTGGCTGAGACAGGCTTAGCACGGTAATCACGTGCTTCAATCCAGCAATTTGCGCCCCCCTCCCCTATTCGCAAGTTCTCACTTCCCCCGGACCGTCATGCTACAGCGCTCTGCCATGTATGCTACGACGAACTGCAGTGCAGTTTATCGATTTCCCTAACCCTACAGTATCCGTGCGCCAGATGAACACGGTCACCAGTTGAACACCCCAACAACAAAATATTTTCAACAAGATGGACTTCTAGAGCCCCAACCAGTCGTGATAAAATTGCGCAAATAATAGATTATACTATATACAGGCCTGGGAAAGTTTTGCGCTAGTCAAGTAATTTTTTTGTAGGCTGGATTGGTCGTGAACGGCGACTGCGCGCTAGGGTAGCTGGTGCAACGCTTGCGACTCTTACCACAACTGGAGCAACCCCAACACGCTTTTGACGCTTTGTAGCTGGCTTGTTAGCTTTCGAAGCTTTGCGCTTACCCTTTTGGGGTAATTGTATAGCTTTTTGAGCGTTGCGGAGCATCCTCTGGCGGTCTCTTTCTGCTTTCTCTGCAGCCTTCCGCTTTCTGGTCTCCTCCCAACCTTTCTCCCGCTCAACACGCTTCGCTTGTTGTAGTTGACGATTGCAGAGGCGAGCTGTCTTGTTAATCTCAGCTTGCTCGGCTTTTTGAAGCTTTTCAAGCTCCTGTTGTTGTTGTTGTTGTGATGCCCGACGATCGCGAGCTCGTTGTACACTCCTGGGCGACCAGATTTTTGCTCCCCCGTGGTAAATCTCGTCCTCATCAAGCTGGAGGGTGAAGGACTGGTTTACCCGCCTCTCCTTAATGGCTAGGGACTGCCTGAGGCCCCTGACTTCCTCACGGAGGATACTGTTTTGAGCTGCGATGTGGCACAAGCTTCGTTGAAGCTTCTTGACGTCCTTACTGCCCTGATCCTTCACCTCACGGCGTAAGATCGACTTGAGCTTGAGCCAATCGCTCCCCGATAGTACTGAGTCGCTGCTGTCAGAGTCTGAAGCTTGCTTGGCAAACTTCTCGAGTATAACGTCTGGGTTGGCTGGGTATATACAAGTGGCTCCAAACGACTTCTTGATAAGTGGAGGTTTGAACACGTTACCCCAAGCCCTCCAGAAGAATGGGAAGAAATCTTCTTTGGTTAAATTGAGCAACCCCTGGCTGTCCTGGAGGTATCCCATCAACTGAGTTGAGTAAGCGTTCGAGAGGGGTTTGAACATACAAACGTCGAGCGGTTGAAGAGTATGAGTAGCATGAGGAGGCAGTACAGCCAACAGGATCTTGTGCTCGTGGCAATACTCAATGAACTCCATGGTTATATGGGACCCATGGCCGTCAAGGAGTAGTAATCGATACCCGGTTGAAGCATGCCACCTGGTTTCTCTTTCAAACACCTCCTTGGGCCAAGCTAACCCAATATCGTTGTTTCTCCAGCCGGACGGAGATCAGGTTACAAAGACTGAGTGCTCTCCTTCCGATATAGCTTCAACCCAGCTTGATTGAACAGCTCCATTGGCTCCCTGGAGGATGAGTGTAGGACTCAGAGGTTTGCCATCCGAACAAATACAAGCTATCACCGTTATCCACTCGCTTGAGCCATCTTCAAGTGCTTGCCTTATCCCTTTTTGCTCGTAGAGTCTCTTGTCAACTATACGTTTTGTTCTGCCAACCCAGCCAAGTTGAAACGCCTTTTCGTCCATATTGAATATATGTATTGGTTGTACATTGTACTCCTCCATCTTTTCAACCAGAAGCTTGAAATACAAACTGTACTTGGCTCCAGAATCAGCGTTGCAACGTAGTTTGTTCATCCCCTTGCTGTACGCGGAGATGAGATGGTTCGGATGACGGTGGAGGAACCGGGACACCCAGGTTTCCAAAACCGCTTTTCCAGCCAAATCTGAAGCAAAGCGTTTTATCATCTCCCTTGTAGGTGGCAAACGTCGTTCAGTAAGCGTCTGTATGTACCGTACAAGCTCCTTCTGGTGTTGTGGATGGAAGGAGAGGTGCTTTACGCCATGTGCCTCTGTTAGACCCTTGTGCCTTCGGGCGAGCGTACAGCGGTTAACACCATACTTTTTAGCAGGTTGTTGGTATGAGAATTGTTCTCCTGGTTCCCGCAATTCGATTTCTTCAATCGCTTCTCGAATCGGGTCCGTATTGGTTGAGTTATAGCGCGTTGAAGTTGAGTTGTTGTTGTTGTTGGGGTGTTCAACTGGTGACCGTGTTCATCTGGCGCACGGATACTGTAACGCTAAGCGATATTAAGCGAAACTTGGCACGAGAAGGGCCTCTCTCGTCGCCTCATAGTGGATAGGGCCTCGCAAACTAACTCTTAGACTAACATCTACAGATATTGCCCTAATACTATATAAGGCGTAGGTTAAGCAGATAGTTATTCTCGTTACGGCAGTCGAGAGGCATCGGCATGACGACTTCGTTCCCACACATGCGCCATAATTCACTCTTCTAATGAGTCTTTCCAATATCTTCCACACTTCTCAACCACGCGCCTGCCCCGAAGCACACATCCTTCGAACATCCGATTTCGCCTGCCTTTGACCCAACTCAAATCCTCTCAAACTCTGCATGGTCGCTACCAAGTCTCATCATAGCCACCCAGTCTTCTCTCGTCTTCCCCATATACATCTGATCTGGTGGCAACACAGCCATCCCGGAATCCAATTGCCGTTGCAGGTCATCATCCATTTCCCTTTGGAAAGCCAGTTCGTTCAGCCGCCAACCTGAGGCAGATGGGAAACCTTCTTTGAAGGGTAAGAATGACTTGATATGACTCTCTACTGCGGGCGAATCTAGGCCCCATTTCTCATGTCCACAACGACCAATGTAGAGTCTGTTGCATGACGGTGGCAACTTTTGCGCGAGGTTGTGCCACTTATATCCTATGCTAGTGAGATAGACGTGCTCAAAATGAGCATACTGCAACTTCGGCTGCCGGGAGAGGAAGTTGATAAGAGACGGTGTTTCCAGAATGAGACTTCGTAGCTTCAAAGTTTTCAATGCCGGAAAAACTAATGGTGTGATGTCTGTGGAGACGGGAGTACTGACGCTACCAAATAGCTTTTCAATGTAGTGCTCTCCCACATCCGGCAATTGTGGATGTGATGTAGTTATGTTGCGAAACTCAAGCGTTTGTAATGTCTGCGATGTGTGACAGATTAATGAAGCAAGCAATGAGCCTTCGTTGTTTGGAGACTCAAGTAGAAAGTCCACACTCTCGGCGTTGAATGAAAGTGCAGTGAGAGAGCTGAACATGTGCTCTAAGGCGGCACTCGTTGTTATAGAGGACGGATGAATCTTAGGGAGGACCAGACTCTGGATGCGACTATTTGACGCTTGAACAGCAGAGCTTAGCAGTTCGAGGTGCTTCCAGGTCGTGCTACATCCGGAGAACTGTTCACTCACTTCATTGCTGGCTACGTTAGTCTAACACTATCTAGACAGCTTAGTCGTACTCACTCGACTCTGTCTTCGAACCCATAGTCACTCAAGTCGCAGTACCACTCTTGGATTTCGATAGCTTTCAAGCTCGGCATGTGGGCGAAAAGTTTAACCAGTGCCGCTAGGATTGCGTCTGCCCTTTCGCGCTGCTCCTCAACCTTAGAGACCCAGATCCCTTCCGCCTGCTCAATCAAGTTCCGCTCTTTACCAGGTCTTGCCAGCCGTTTCTCGGCGAGACGACGGATGCCAATATATTCGCCCTCGGAATCTGTTTCGAAGTCTTCTGCTTTATACATACTATGGAAGTCTTTCTCGTAGTCCTGCTCCCTCTCTAGCCATTGGCGATAGCTCGACCAGAAACCTTGAAAAAAAAACAGTTCAGTATCTGCCTGGCCATGGATAGAATATCCGTAGACCCAACTTACCATCTACGTAGTAGCCAGGACTGAACTTTAGCTTGCGAACATGGCACGCAATGTCCAGTGCCAATAGCCCATCCACAGTACTTTCCAGAGAGCCAAATTCCACCGTCCGTGAACGACCTGGGTAGATGTCACACTGACCATTCTCCACTCGACCGAATCTGGTATGGGCTGAGCCGTCCAAATGAATTGTCTCGAACATCAACGGCTTTGTAAGGGTCGCGAAAGTGCGGCATGTTCGAGACACTAAGTGTAGATGATGCCGGGGCAAGTATGAGAAGATCTCGAGGTAAAGTTCCTCGGGCAGATCCATGATGGTTTGTGAGTATGATGACTGGAAGACGACAGGCAAGTGTTATATAGAATATGGACAGGCGTCGTTCAGCGGCAAGGGCGTGGCTGCGCGATGATTTCGCGATATTAGCCTGTTCGCGCGAAGGAGTAAGCGGCGAGGCAGCAATCCCAAAAGGAAACAATTATATGAGCGACGCAAGCTAATACATTAGAGTGCATGTGTAGAGACACAATCATTGGTGGGATTTGCATTCGTTGTCGGTGTTGAGGACATAGTGCCAGGCATCAGCGGCGCCTAGAGTTTTGGCGATAAAGTGCGGGGCGTTGGTGGCGGATCGCCATGCTCCCTACAGTGTCCGTGCACTCGATGCCCATGTTCAGTCAATGTCCGGGCAACAACACAACGTCTTCGTGAGTAATGCAGCTGTAGCGCCACAACAAATCGTAATAAGATTGCGCAGAGCTAGATTTATACTACATACAGGCCTGCGAAACCTTCAGCTTATTTAGAATATTCTTAGGGGTGCGGATTGATCGTGTGTTAGTCGTGTTAGGTGGAACTAGCTGTGCAACTAATAGCTTTCAGGTCGCTTGACATCCATGACATCCAATTCAAACTACGCATGCAACCAAGCTTCATTATGTCATGCCCTCAAATCACTCTTTCACTACCTCAATAACAGCAACGATAAGACTCATGATGGTCGCAACTCCAACAATGTATATAAACCATCTCTTCACGCCAGAGTCGGGTAGGACGACAAATCTAGTTGGTTGCCGACGCCTTAGTAGCGGCGTATGGTTGATAAGAGGATGGGCGTCGGACGAAAGAGGTGGAGTGTGAGCGGGTGCCGGTAGGGAGTGCGCGGGGACAGTGGGGCTCATATCTACACAGCGAGGAAGTCCAAAACGGTGGTTATCCTGCCCGGTGGCTGTGGCAGTAGAAGTAAACATAGCGATGATTGGACTATAGGGGTAGGGGTGGATTAGCGATATGTTTCAGCCAATCAGAAACGACTAATCCACATACAGTGATGCCTGCGAGCGGTAACGGTTCCGACAGTGCTAGGTGTTGAAACAGTTTGAGGAGCTTCGTCATCTTGCTGCGAGTTCTTACTGTGGACTGGAGTGTTGTCAAACAGGAAGTTCGCTTGCGAAGGTTTTCATCGCCTTAGTCGCCTCCCAACTCCTGGCCCATTCAACCCAGTCGAATCTGAGACCAGGCATGTTACATCCATGGATGACATAATACGGTACCGAGATCCTCAGTTCAAGACTACAAGTACATATAAGTTGTACTATATCATTTATGGCTCGCTCTGAGAAATAGGTATAGGAAAGAATTGTCTTCAATGGCCTTGAGAGCATTTAGCTGGACATCCACCACCTGCATCTTGTAAGAAAAGACGAGGTCTTACCGGTCCAAGCTCTGGTTCGTTTTTGGAAAGTGAGTAACAGTCAGCTGATGACGTTGATAGTTCAACAATCTGGTTATTGCTAATATCTTGGTAGCAAAGTTTTCCAGCTATATCCGCCTCGTCTGCGTATCTAAGCGCGTCTTCGTTGACATTGTGGCACTGACTTATGATGCTGAGGAAATGTGTGTTTGGGCGAGCGCATGCAGCGTGCACATTAGCTATTTCTATGGTCTATTGTTACAATGACCCTGTATGTACCTTATTCTTTTTCATTCACTTAACCACAGCAGCAACAACAGCTAGAATAATTCTAATAGTAGCGATACCGAGCCCTATAACATGAGCGTATTCCTAACCTATAGGACGCGGATGTTAGGGCCCGATCATCGTCGAAACGGGTGTAGCGTTAGGGTTGCACGATCGAATCGGGCCTGCTATAGGGGGCGAACATTGTGTCTTTTACCCCCAATCATCGTCAAAATAGGCATAGCGTTAGGGTTACGCGATGAAATCGGGCCTACTATAGGAAGTACTTAGGGTTATCTTAGGGTTAACTTGCTAAGCATGGAGTTCTGCTAGAACGCACAGCCACCCGCAACGTTAACTGCAACGCAGCACCGCAAGCGACCGCGTGCACGCAAGATAACAATCGACAACGTGCAAGAGCGCTTCTGCTATCTCCAGCGCTATCAGGTGCTAGTCTGCAAGGAGCACGCTACAGGCATACAGAACGTTGATGTGCACCTGCGCGACCAGCACGGCGTAGCAAGCGAAGAGAGGAAATCCGTCGTAGAGCACTGCCGGCAATGGCAGATCGCCGCACCGCAAGATGTTGAGCTGCCTGCGCCGTTGGGGCCGCCGATTGAGCAGCTAGGCGAGCCGTTGGACGTCTATCAATGCAGGATCACTAGCGACTGCGGCTTCTGTACCGCAAACAAGATTAGAATGCAGAAGCACTGCAACAACGCACACCAGACGGCTTAGAGCAGTAAAGACGTTGCACTCTGCGAGAAGGTTAAGGCGCAAACGTTCTTCCAAACCGGCGGGCTCCAGCGATACTTTGTCGTCAAGGTAGCAGACAACAGTCGCGCACCGTCCAACCCGCACGAGACCACAGACGTCGTTAGGGGGCGGTTGGCAGAATGGAAGCTAACAAAATATGCACACGAAGAGAAGGCGCAGGTTATGGACGCTGACGTCGCAAAAACAGATAAAACTGGCTGGTTCAAGCGGACAGGCTGGCTGGAGCACTTTGCCGACCGCAATCTGATGCATCTTGCGCATCAGACCCGGCTGCCCGATCGAGGCGAGGAGAAGCTGCTGCGGGCAGCGAAGCTAACTGAGCTGCTGGTGGAGAGAAGCGTCAAGGGGCTGTCGACACTTGCGCGAGAGACGAGGCGGTGGCTGAGGAGCGCGAAGCGGCAGGAGATCGATCAGCGGCCCATAGCTCGATTGCAGAACCCGGAGAGTCAGGCTCGCTACGCTGGCTATATAGTTAAATTCGTCTGCTACGCTCTGCGCTTCGTAGCTGACGCAGAGGCAAGGATAGCGGCGCAAGAAGGCGGCGATGAATGCAGCGACGAAGATGATGATGATGATAATGATAAGGGCGACGAGGATGGCTTGGAAGAAGAGGAAGAGGAAGAGGAAGAGAACGACGATGACTTTTCTGATGCTGACAGCAGCCGACCGGCGAACGTTCCGAGCAGCGGCCAAAGAGAGAAGGACTTGATGAAAGACGCGCGAGAGCTGTTCCGCTGGACAGTTGAGCAGAAGGAGCTTGTAGTAACACTGTGGGAGGTACTGGATCGCGATGCTGACGCTGATGACGAAGCGCAGCGCAGCGCTCAGCGCGACGCTCAGCTCGAAGTGCTGCTAAACTTGCTCACATCATTCTTCTTCACGACAACGGGCGATAAGCCGTTTAGCAGCGGGCTCATTCACTTTCTTGCTGTGCTAGGCATTGATAGCGACACGAACCGCTTGCGCACGGCGAAGAACTACTCGTACATGCTAGCAGGAGTAGTCTACTGCATGCGCGTGCTTAGCGTGGAGAAGTTGCTCCCGTCCGCGTGCCGCGATGAGCAGACCGACGAGGACCGTGAGCGCTTCCTGGAGCACAGAGAGAAGTATCTGTCGGACGGCTCGTACAGCCCAATGAGCGAGGCGCTCAGCTTGCTGGCTTACGGCAAGTACGTCGCGCTGGCGGCCGGCAATTCAGGCAATGCGTACTGGTCAAAGGACAAGAAGATCTTCTACTTGCACGGCCGGCGGATCTACATCAGCCGCTTCTGCAAGATGGCGCAGGACATGGTTTCTGAAGCAGAGCAGATGCTGTGGGAGGAACTGTTCTGGGTGACGAGGGCGGAAGAGCGGTTTGCCGTCAAGCTAGACATTCTTGTCGACGACGTTACGTTTGAACGGCGGGGCGTGTCTTTTGTGCAGCACCGTGATAACGGTCTTAAGGACAAGCTAGAGTGGATGCTGACGCAGGCTGAGCAGACTGAGCAGGGCCACAGACTGCAGTCGAGCGAAGGGCAGTGGAACGTGAAGCAGGTCAAGCGATACTTGCGTTGCGTGGACCGCTTCCTGATGCTGCTGATGGTCTGCGTGCACATGACGTCCGGACAGCCGGGTAGAGGGTCGGAGATCACGACGATGCGGCACCGCAATAGGCTGCTGCAAGACCGCAACATCTTCGTTATGGACGGGCAGGTGATGACGGTTGTCCGCTATCATAAGTCGCAGTCGCAGTGGGATAAGCCAAAGGTAGTGCCGCGCTTCTTGCCGCCGCGGCTGGGGCAAGTGATGGTGCTGTACCTGGCGTACTTGCAGCCGTTCCGTGAGTATCTTACCGTGCAGGTGCTCGGCGGCAGCTTCAGCGACTACGTATGGGCGGACGAGCAGGGCCCGTGGGGGACCGATCGACTGACGCGAGCGCTGAGGCGAGAGACCGGCAAGAGGCTAGGCGTGCCGCTGCACACGCTCGACTACCGGCACGCGGCTGTCGGCATCGGTCGAGTTGTCGTAGGCGAGCGATTTAGCAAGGGTTATCAAGACGAGCTTGGCGAGGTGGACGAGGCTGAGGTAGACGAGGATGGGGAGGACGTGATGGAGCTGCAGAACGCAAGGACGACGGTGATTGGAGTAGGCAACTACAGCGTGCCGATGGATATTGTCAAGCATCTCAGCGTGCGCTCGATCGAAGCGTTCCGGCCGCTCAGCGCAATGTGGCACCGCTTCTTAGGGCTGGATGGGAAGCAGGCAGCGCCGCAGGAGACTTGGACGGGCAACATCGATGTGATTAGGAGGGCGAGGAAACGGGGGCGCAGTGGTGTCGACAGCGATGGCAATAACGGGGATGAGGACGGTCAGGGCAGGGAAGCCGCGTTGCTGCATAGAGGCAAGAAAGAGAAGGCGGTCTGCAAGGCAATGCAGCAGGTGCTCAGTCAGCAGGACGTTGGGTTTCGATCCGCAGAGCAGGAGCTGGCGCTGCACGCAGTGATCGATGGGCAGACGCCGCTTGTCGTTGTTCTGCCGACTGGTGGAGGCAAGAGCTTGCTGTTTAGCGTGCCGGCTTGCATGGACGACGCTGGGGTGGCGGTGGTGGTGGTGCCGTACCGAGCGCTCATTGAGGATGTAGTAGACCGGATGCAGAAGTGCGGCATCGACTGCATGGAGTGGAAGCACGGCGAGAGCAGCCCGGCGGCTGTTGTCGTAGTCAGCGCAGACGCCGCAGGGGACACTACAAGCAACGGCAACTTCTTAGGGTACGCAAACATGCTTAGCGGCAAGGGCTTGTTGCGGCGAGTAGTGGTGGACGAGTGTCATCTAGTCATCACATCGAGCGACTGGCGGCCGAAGCTGGCACTGTTAAAGAATCTGCGGCTGCTGCCGTGTCCGATTGTGCTGCTCACAGCAACGCTCCCGCCGGTGAGAGAGGGCGAGCTGGCAACAAGCATGCTGCTTCCGTGCGCAACATACATCCGGGCGAGCACAGTCCGGCCGAACACGCAGTACTACGTGTCGTGGTGCGAGCGTGGCAAGGCACAGGAGACGGCGCTAGCAATGTGTCGAAGACAGCAGCAGCTACTGCTCCACAGAGGAGAGAAGGGCGTGGTGTACTGTCGCAGCAAGCAGCAGTGCGAAGAGCTGGCCGAGGCGCTCGGGTGCGCGTGCTATCACGCTGGCGACATGGAGCGAGCGGAGCGATTGAAGCAGTGGCTGCTAGACGGAGGGCTGATCGTGGCTACGTCGGCGCTGGGCACAGGGGTCGACTTCCCGGGGATTGTGTACATACTGCACGTAGGGATGCCGTGGAGCATGATCGACTACGCACAGGAGAGCGGGCGAGGCGGGCGAGCTGGCGAGAGGGTGGATGCCGTGGTGCTGGTAGAGAAGGGCGAGGTGGAGCGGACGATGAAGCAGAAGAGCGGGGACTTGAACGTGCAGGCGATGGGGGTGTTCATCATTGGCAGCGGGTGTAGACGAGGGTTGATGAGCGGCTACTTGGACGGCCGGCGGGTAGAGTGCAATGACTTGGAGACGGCTGGGTGCGACCGGTGCGGAGAGGGGGTTCGAGGGTGGCAGGACGAGCAGATGGAGGCGAACGTAGAGTGGCAGCAGGTGCAGGAGGTGCTTAAGGAGGTGCGAGAGGGGTGCGTGGTATGCTGGCTGGTCGGGGCAGAAGAGGTAGAGACAGGCGAGTGGCAGAAGCACACGGCGAGGGATTGCACTGCGCACGAAGGGCTTACCAGGAGGGAGCTAGATGCGTTTCGACGGGGCATGTGGGATAGAGGCGGGAGTCATAGCTGCCGGCGGTGCTGGATCAGTCAGGAGTACTGCGCGACAGGAGATGATATTGGGCAGGCGTGTCAGTGGCCGAACGTGGTGGTGCCGGTCGTGAGGGCAGCGGCAGGGCAGGAAAAGGGGATGCAGATGATCCGGCAGTGCGGGTACAGTGGGGAATTTGGTAGAGAGTAGAAGGAGTATGCAGAGTGGCTAGGAAGACGGCATAGAGTGCGAGTGTGGGGGGAATATTTTAGCAATGCAATAGTTGTTGCTATTCGGATTCTACTGTTCTGCAAGAAGTATAGTTAGAGGCAGACTGTCTATAGTAAAATAAAGAAGAAGAAGATAAAGTAAGAAGAAAAGAATAGGATAGAATATAAGTAGTGTATAGTAGGTAAAAAGAAAATAGAGACGATTACATTAAAGAAGAAAAGAAAAGGTTTTGGAGAAGATAGTACTAGAAGTAGAAATAGAGATGTATAAAGTAGATAGAAGAAGAATTCATAGAATAAATGTAAGGAGTAGTTGGGCAGGCACTGAGATATCGGTATAGGCTTGTATTGAGACGAATCCTTGAGGAGCTATCAAGCCTCCCAGAGGGATAATATGTATCTACGTCACGTGATCGTGGCTGGTGTGGGCCGATGGTGCCCCGAAGGGTTCCCGGTGGCTCACCAGTCTGTGGCTGGAATCCTGTGATGATGGAACATCGTGACAACCTCGCCTTAGTACGGACCGAGCCTAGAAGAGTATAGTTAGACTGTGTGACAATTCCTCCTTTCTATATCTGCTCTTAACAATTTTATGCAGTTATTGTCTGCTACTAGTAATAGCGTAGATATACTCCTAGAACATTAATCTACACTATTGAGTCGCAAGGCTTATAGACTTGGAAAGATCCTACTGCTTCAGAATAATGTTTGCATGCTTCAGGAACATCAATCCACTGAAGGCCAATCTTGCGTCGACCTACAAACCCAAGGGCATAGAATATCAGTCCAGGAATCTTATCAACATCTCGAAGATAAAAAATTGCGGAGAAAGAATTCTCACCTTTCGCGAGCGTGAAATACGCATGACTTCCACCATATTTCTCGATGCACTCCTCCCCGAATTCGCCGCACCACTTGCCATCAAGCGGACCTGTCCCCGAAGTAACACCCACACGCACATCATCGATAAACACGACGAAGTTTTGACATCTCTGCCTAGCATCGGCGACCAGCAAGACACTATCTTCTGGAACATTGACATAATTCGAGGAAACGGCACTTGGCTCGGACGTGTTGGCTTTGTGAGGCATAGAGATCTGTATCCAAGGCTGAATTATCTCCGTGGTGCATGGTGTGTGGGGTATGAGAGTGCCGTCGCCAGGACCGCCTGGGATGAGTGAGATGGGAATGGAGCCTGTGAGACCCGGACGGGTCTGGTTGAACTTTGCTCCATCTTGACATGTGCAAATGCACTGCTCGTCGGTTGGTGCGGGACCTTCGCATGAGAGGGAGGGTTTATAGCCTGGTGACGAGTATTAGTTGTTCAAGAAGGATCTATTGATGATGGGCTGCGAGACTCACCAGTCTGGCATGCTAGGAGCGGGTCCACATTCATATTTGCCGTAGCTTGCGCGTTGCTCATGGGCCAAAGCAGAAGCGACATTAGAAATAGAGTGACCTGCATAGCGTTCGATTCTTCTCAGATAAGATTCCAATGAAGGGGGTCTACACATGAGCTTAATATAGAGTTTTCTTAGCCAGCATCACTTCTACATGGATGCATTGGCTATGCTGTCGGATCCCCTCTGCCCGATCCAGTCCCTTGGTGTCAGTGTTGTCGGTGTACATGATGAGTTGTTTTTACGGCGTGGTCCGTATCCACAAAGCATCCTGTATACCAGAATCGACGTGCCGATCCCCGAAGCTTATCCCAAACTACACCCGAAAGCCATAATGAACAAAGCTCAACAGCCTATGCAAAGCAACGCCCACGGAAAAACAAAACCTGGGGGCGCAGAACCCACACTAACCGCTCACAGGTGGCTCTAGGATCCACCGCGCCACGTCGGATACATTGCCTGTACATGTATATTGTTATGTGGATTCAAGTCAGCAGCATGGCTATCACGTCGCAAAGGTTAAGAACTTAACGTACAAGAGTGTAGCTTGCTAGCAGCTTGTGTCTATCAATTATGAGATATCGTCGAGCTCTACTGATTTACACAAACTCATTGTAAGAACCTCCTAGATTCTCCTCGTTTCTAGTCTTTTTTGTAACGATTATAGTATAGACATGATCTAACAAGTAGTCGGCAGCGCTTTTAACCTGTCTAGTATCTTGTACACGATAGGAGGTAAAGACTTCTTGTTACACAGGGTCTAGCTATACTCTTCTAGGCTTAGTCTGTACTAAGGCGAGGTAGACTAACGCGGTAGTCCGTGAGGATGTCTGGGAGGTTCAGGTGGAAAAGAGTTCACGTTGTTAACCAAGAGGTAGAAGACAATCCAATTCCATAAACGATAGAATAACTAGTTGACAATCTGTGTGAGAGATGAACTATTTGAGTTGACCACAACGAGTGTAATAATGAAATCTATCTATCCTTTATACCTATTCCAATTTGTGCCTGTCTTCCCTGTCCTCACATAACCATCCTTGTAATCTCTGAAGGCCTGAAGGCGCTTGGTCACGTGTGACCATGTCCTCACATAACAGCGAGGCCGTCCTTCCTTGGCGTGAAGCCAGTCACGTGAGCGTCACCTTCTGACGTAGTCGTCGGTTGGCGTTCAGCCCCGACACTTTCATCAAGGGTAGAGTTTCTTTTGTTACTTGTAACAACTACGTCAGAAAGTGATAATCACTACAGAGTGATGGTTACGTGACTAATCTTACGCTAAGAAGAAGCTAGTGTTACGATCAGAACCGCAGAACCCAGAATTTAGAGTTTTATTGCATCGGTGCGTTCAAGACGCTAACCCGATCGCAGTCAGTGTCACGTGACCAGTCACATAACTGCTCGGATCCCCTCCGTCTACCCGAAACTCGTTGTTGACTATGTATATAATTAGCTAGCTCAGTAGTGAAGCTCGTACTAAGTAAGGTTTCATGGAGTTAAAAAAAAATGATAACGACGAGATCTACATCCGGAAGCCGAGCGTTTGGCATTCAAATAGAACTTTTAACGCATAAGCTATCACTATCGTAGATGTCGTCATCTAAACAGAATAAGAGACTAAAAAGCAATCCTGATTCGAGCACAGGTGGCGTGTAGTGAGCGAATTTTTGCGAAAAACCTAGGTACGCCTTGATCCATAGGATGCTCTTGTGTAGTCAGATCAGTATCTTCACAGATCATAAGATGTATCAGTGATAACATGTGTGACAATCGCGAGGATTGGAGCTAAGCAAAAGAAAAGCTTCAGAAAAAGAACCTCTCGGGAAAGTCAGGCTCGCGAAAAAGCACCCAGAGCAGGTCCCAACACACTACCACCGCACCGGATGCATTGCCTGTAAACAGACAGATTTTCGCACACCTCAGGAGATAGATCACTGGTTGCATGCACTAGTGGGAACGGAAGCCAGGAAGTCAATGAGAGGCTGACGGTATAAAGCCACAGTCACGGAAGACATGGTGCCTCAGAACCCAAACCTAATACTCAGGCTCTATTCATCCAAAAATGTCTACGATGAAGGCATCTCTGATGTTTCTCGTCCCTATTCTTTGTACTTCAGTCCACACTCATGACGCCCCACAATTCCTGGACACGCTCAACCTTTCCGGAAACTCGTACAAGTGCGAGAATGGTAATGAAATGCAACAATCGTGACACTCTGCACAGCTGATACGAAAAATCAGGTGTCAGGCCCTCAATTACCTGTACGGATCTATCGTCGAACAACCACAAGTGCTCGTGCAATTGCACAAACGGCATTATATTTGAGCAGCCTCTTTCTTTGTCTTCTCATAATAGCGGGAGCAGCGACTCTTCACCCGTCAACTGCCAATCAAACAAACCCTTCGCGTACCAGGGTTGCTATACCGACAATGTGGAAAGAGTGCTGGCTGATAGCATTGTGGAAGACTCAACAATGACGGTCGACAAATGCGCAATTATCTGTCAGAACTTTACCCATTATGGAGTGCAATACCGCAACGTTTGTCTATGTGGGAATGTTTTTAAATATCCCACTAGAAAGCTTGCAGAAGAGGAGTGTGACATGAAATGTGCTGGTAACGCGAACCAGATTTGTGGAGGGCAATGGAAGAATTCTTTATATTCAAGGTTAATTTAAATAGTGTATTAGCCTATCTTTAATGGGTGACGGAACAAAGCCCGGAACGACCTACCTGAGAGGATGTGCTTGATCCTAGTAGGATCAAGCGGGTTTGTTAGTAGCGATAAGGAAGCGATAAGGAACGAGGAGTGGGATCAAGGGAGTAGGATCAAGGCTAGGGATCTACGCTACAGA